TGGTGGTAGATAATAGGAAGGCACACCCCGGATGTGGGTGGTACCACCCAAAGGCTTGTATCCTGGATGGGATAAATGGGAGCAAGGCTTGCTGCTGCGGCCTGCTGCTGCTGCTGCCTGCTGCTCACCGTGCCATGGGCTGTTTCCCTTCTGTTGTGCCATCTGCCAGGCTGCCCTGCCTCGCAGCCTATCAACTACGAATAGAACCCTCTATAAACTGTGAGCTAGAATAAACCTTTCTGAACCTTGGGTGCCAAGTATTTTGTTTAAGCAGTAAGAAAAGCAAATAAGACAGATTTGTACATGTGATGCGTGTATTTCCCAGTGCTGAACCCAAGTGCGGAACCTTGGGTTGTTGAGCCCAAGGCTGTTCACATGCTAAGCAAATGTTCTACCACCAAGCCACTGAGTTGCATTCTCAGCCCAGGTCTTTGTAGTTTTAAGATTTAAAATAAACTTATTCATGTATTCTTTCAGTAATTTTACTTTCATTTAGAAAAAAACATAGTTGATCTATTTAGAGCTTTTAAAACTGCACATTTTACAAATACAGCTATGCTTTTCTGAACTTTTTCCCAGAGGCTTGCTGTCATCCCTGTGTCATTTATGAGTCTCACTCCTTCGCGATGTGAGGTGCTGCCTTTGCCGTGCAGTGAGTTGCTGGGACGTGCACATCTGGGGCCTGACGGCTCTCCCGCGCCCTGCTGGCCTGCTCACCTCCCAGCACGTTTTAGCTGCTCAGGCGCTGGTTGGCTTGCAGTGCCCACAGCCCTGCCCTCCTTCTGCTCTGTGTTTCCCCAGACATTGCCTGGCCAAGCACACGTGGCAAATTCATTTTTCCACGTGAGGTTTAGAATCAGTTTAGTCCTAAGGCAGGTGAACAATCTATTAGTATTTTTATGTTAGAGTAGCATTAAACTGTTAAACTAACTTAAGGACAATTAACATTATTCCGAATTTCCTATACAAAACATTTGCTGAATTTATTGGTTTGAACCTTTTGTGATTGTCAAGAATGGTCCCCTAACCCTTTTATAACACCAAAGATAAACATACAGACACATAAGGTTTGCACCTCTTTTCTTCCATTGTATCTTTTACTTGATTGTGGTTTGGGTAGGAGAAGTTCCTTGATTTCTTTGTAATACTTTTATATCTCCATTCTCATTGAATTACATTCTTGTTTATAGTGGGTTATCGACAGTTTCTCTGGGATTTTTCAGGCCTAAATATATGCTCCGAATATAGCCAGGCTTTCACCTCCCAACCTGATTAGAGTGCTTCGCCTTACCTTATTGCCCTGGCTAGTCCTTCTGGGGCAATGTGAGACGCTGTGAGTGACAGTGTCCCTCTCTTGATATCATCGCTAAGGCCCTCTCTAGGAGTCTTCTGCCCTCGTGGAGAGCTTCTGTGGGGTGTAAGGGATATAAACTGCATTTTATCATGTTCAGGAATAATCCCTAGATTTCCCTGATATTATATATTTTAAAAATCAAGCATAGGTATTAAATTTTATTAAATGCCCTGTCAGTAAGACTCATTAAATTATCTTTGCCTCCTTAAATAAGTCACTTGGATTTTCAATTGCTGCTTTGAAATAATAAGACCAACTTTCTTACTAGAGCAGTACTCAGCCTTTTGTACAATGTCCTGGGCCTGCACACACTTAGGTCTCCCAAGATGACAGCCACTGAATGTCCTCTCCTCAGGCTTAGCGCCTTCTCTCTCCACTGGTGCACTCATCAGCTTCTTGCAGCCAGGACAATGACCAGCACCCACGGCTTAATGGAGGGGAGGTTCCTCTGGATCACAGTTTCTGGGGTTCAGTCCATGGTCAGCTGCTCCAAGGCAGTAACAGCATGGTGGAAGGGGCTGATGGAACAAAGCTTCCTCGTCTGTGGAAGCTGGGAAGCGGAGTAGGGAACCTGCGCCCAAGAGCAAGAGGCAAGCATTCTGATAGAGACCCCAGGTCACATTCTACTCAGACACACCCAGAAATGCGCTCTACTAACACCCTGGGCTGCCCCCACGCCAACCAGTTGGCAATGAAATTTAACCTTCACACTACATCTGTTTAGTTCAATTTTTATGAAACGCATCTGGATGCTCTAGATTTAGGGCAAGAAAAGGATGAGGTCTGGGGATCTGGCTCAGCTGCAGAGCCCCTGCCTGGCCAGCACGAAGTCCTGAGTTTGATTTCTGGTTCCAAAAAAAGAAAAGATAGCATGGCAAAGCTACCAGACAGCAGTAAAGGTGAAATATGGGGGGGGGGGATGCGGGTGAGTAGCTTCTATGAACAGAAGCAAGAAGAGTACAAGGGTCAGGAGAAAGAGACACAACAGAGGCAGCAGGGCGTCCTGCGAGGGTGGAGGAGGCAGATGCACCACCCCTGGCCCGCTGCCCACAAGGCCCTGTTCCCATGTGTGGCCAGGCCCAGCGGTTCCCAAGCTCCACCCACTGCCCCCTTAATAACTTTCTGCCAGAATACTTATTTGCTTTGTAAAGATCTAATGTGCCTGGCTGTGTTGAGTTAACTGTACTTCAGTAGTAATTAATTAGACTGTCTTTCAAACAAACTCACTTAAGCAGATTCTGGTCAGAATGTGCTAATCAGAACTGCCCTGCTGCGTGCAGTACGCTCAGCCAAGCACAGAGGCGGTGAGTGTCTGTGTGCTCGCGGAGGCATCTCTGGGACAAACAAACCGTCCTGCAAGGCTTTCCCAAGTGCAGACGTGAGTCTGCATCGCGCTTAGTCCTCTGTTCCTAAACCGCTAAGGACACGGCACCTCAGCGCGGGCCCTCGGAGCTCACCCATCCAAGATCTGGTGCGGCATGAAAGGCTGGGGATGGTGACAGTCAGCTGCTAGGTGTGTCAGGCTACCCCGTGATACCTCCTACTGGATCCTTTCTCTTAAGAATTTCTCTACTAAAAGCACCCAGTGATTATTATTATTTTTGAGACAAGTTCTCACTATGTAGTACAGGTTGGCCTTGAACTTGCTTATGTAACCCAAGCTGGCCTTGAACTCAGACTTCCCGGTGCGGAGCTTACAGCCGTGCACCATAACGCCAGGCCCGGAATGTTTTTTGTTTTGTTTTCTCATGTGAATAATTCCTGCTCTGAAAAAGCAGACAATAAAGATGAGAAGGTGTGTGAAGACTAATCAGGAGAGTATTGCTAGGAGAAAGCAACCCAGCCAAAGAGGAGTCACGCAGGCTGTTGGCTGTTAGTGAGTGTGCGCCCCACCCCAGGCCCCACCCCTATTCACTCAGGTTCTGCGGGGGTGCAACTCAGGCATCAGTGCATTTCCAGTCCCCCCATTCCAACGAGCACCCCGTGCTCGAGGGCCTCCCCGTGGCCTGTGGTGAGAGCTTGTTTCGCATTGCAGGCTCTTAGCACTTCTGGATCTGAATCCAAGTCTATGTGTAACAAGGACCGCGAGAGGTCTGTGTGCACAGTAGTTACAGCTGCGGGGTCAGAGTGCAGTGTCCGCATCTCCTGCACAAGCCTCCCTGAGGGGGTGAAGGGGCTTTCCAAAAAGCAGATCTGGGGAGGACAAGCCTGCAGGTCTCATGGTGAGGGTGGGGCCCTGGTGCCTGCATTCTAAGGAGCTTCCAGAGGATTCCTAAGTCCACTGCCTGAGAACTACTCCCAAGGGGAAAGCCAGCACCATGACGGCGGCTCCTCCTGACCTTGCGGCGACTTCCCCACGAGGGCACAGTGCACACACGGAAAGTGAGGCACATGCTGGCATTGTCCACAAAGACCTCCCAGCCTGAAGATGTCCAGGTCCTGCTCTCTGCACCTGGCACAGAGCTGCTGCTCCTGCTTTGAAGTACGCAGAAGTAAATGTCGCTTTCACAGCGATAGAAACAAGTCTCCACATTCTCTTATGTTAGTGGTGGGCAGTTTGCAATTTGGATACCAAAGGCAAGAGAGGAAAGAGTGACTCCTAACAGTAAGGAGTTTTCTTAATTTTACAAGTCTTTGTTTGTGATGTAGAGGTGAAGCCAGGGCCTCGGGCCTGCCTGGCAGGCCATCTCCCCTGGAGCTACATCCCCAGCCCTTATGTTGATTCAGAGTCTTGCTAAGATGCCCAGGCTGACCTCAACTTTATGATCCTTCTGCCTCAGCCTCCCCAGTCACCTGAGCTGCCAACATGAGCCACTGCACCAGGCTCCAGAGGTCTCTTTTTTCTCTTATTTTGCAATTTTTGCTTAGGCTCAGATTTTTAAATGATAATATGAATAAAAACAAAATGAAGCTAGGAATAGAAAATTTGATCTTTCTCAAGAGATGCATTTGAAGTGTGCAGTACTTGCTTGTAGTTTTAAAAGCACTTATGCCCATGCAAGATATTTAAAAGCTGCTGTAATAACAAGAGGTTGAAAGTGTGTTTCTCTTCAGATATCTAGGATTCAGAAGTATGCCTCGTTGTGCTCAAGATGACAACGGAAATCTCTCTAGTTATACAATGAAATAGACCACAACGATTCCAATGGCTAATGAGATGGAAGGGAGAACTACAACATGATCCACATCAAATCTAGTTTTTAAAGAATTACTGAGTTGAAATCAGTAAAAGCAAAGACACTTAAAGAAAATTTAGGATGACTTGTTTTAAAGACTTTCTAAACCTGGGGTGTGTGTGTGCACGGTGGGACGCCTTGGAAAATCTGGGGAAAAGCAAGACCCTTCTTCCCCTAGCGCTGCCACACGGGCTTTCCAAGCTCCATGGATCCGAAGCCCCCACGCAGGCCCCCTTTTGGAACCTCTGCGCTGACCCTGCGTTTTAAGCAAACTGCTTGGTATTGATTCCTGCCCTTTGGAGCAGCTGGAGGCACAGGGGGATCTTTTTGCCCCAAGTTGGAAGGGAAAGTGGACTCTAGAAACATGGCCAGGAATCCCCTTTCCCTGTAGACCCAGAACATCGGCGATGGGCTTCGTCCCCCCCTCGGGCAGATGGGACCCTTCCACCTCCCGCGGCCAGGTCGCTTACCGGCACCATGGAGTAGGTCATCAGCATCAGGGTGTCCTGGCTCTGGGCGCGCAGGGCCGGCGCGGGCTCCCCGTGGCTGCGCTTGGCGCGCGCGGCGCTGGGAGAGTCAGGGTCGGGGTCGGGGTCGGGGTCGGGGTCGGGGTCGGGGTCGGGGTCGGGGCTGCGGCCGGGAGCTGGGCGCAGCTCTGTCAGGAAGGCGCGCAAGGCCGCATCCTCCCCGCGCTCGGCCTCCAGGGCCCGCAGCGCCGCGCGGAGCCCGCGCCACTGGCACAGCGCGAACACCGTGCCCGCCGCGTTGAGCGCCGACACCACGGCCAGGGCCACCAGCGCGCCGC